CACCACCATGATGATGTCAATCAAATGATGTTGTTGGTGCTGAGTACCAAAACACCATGGTTTGTTGCCGATTTTCCGTCCTATTTTGTGCACTCTCGATTTCAAATTACTTGTCTGTGCAACAACTGCAACGACAACTAATGCATATACAATTCATAATTGTTATCTCAGCAAAATGTTAGTTTGATTCAGTGTTATGTTATATTCAGGCAAATCTGAAAGCTATGTATTATCCCAACTGAGCAAGTTGGGATTAAAACCCTTCTGAATGCTTACGCTTGGTGTCGGTTAGTCAGTGTCGGTTAGTTACCCAGTCAAAGTGCTCCGAGAATCCGTATCATAAAGTGTTTGGTTGATCCAACCACTCCTGTTTTCTGACTACTTGTTTTACAGCACATGTTTACAAGTTTCAGTGGGCTGTCCTCGGTGCAACTTAACATCCTCATCTCACGTCAGCCAACGGGAGAGTACCACTGTAGTTGAATCCGGAGAAAAGACCATGGTTGGATCGATATCAACTAAGCTGTACTCCTTTCTGTCTCACAATTTCTCCCCACTATAACTCCGTCTCATCCGAAGGTCACTCACTAAATTGCAAGGGCGTCTGATAGGCACTCAAACTACCTCCACAGACAGTGATACGCCTCACGAAAACTATGCTTTAGGTGTCTGCCATCATCGCATCTCACGCAGTAAGACCCTGGTTGTCATTCTCTCACCGGTTTGGCTGGCATAGCCATGATTCCCAATTTGAGAATTTCGAGGGTGGGGAGAATGATAATGGCTTCAGACGTTCCATGCATGCTCGGTGAGTAGGCGTGAATAAGCTATGATGAAAAAAAATCAGCACCGTTCCCACCAACAAACTTATCTCCTGTTTAGTTCCACACACGCATTCAAAATCAGTATGAAAAGTTTGGCGAAAACATTTATTCTACTCTTCTAAAATATTGCGTGGTCTAGTGGGGGGATTTTTTCAAAGGTTTGGAATAACGTTCTCCGAATAGAAGTGAAGTTATTCACCCGGAGAAGATAGTTTGCGTGCTCAGTTGATGCCAGCATGCTTCAGATGCAAACTACCGCTAGTCATGTGATCGCTGTGACTAGGATCTAACACCTAAAGCTATTTTTATCTTTTCGATTGGAGTGAGATGACAGAGGAAGATAAGTATTGCTAAAGATGTGTATGGCACGAACAGAACGGCTGTTTACTTCGTTTCGATAGTTTTGCAATAAACCAATATTTGTGATAAACAAGGTTTTGGTCAAATGTTCGAACGTTTCCCCCCATTGTGAAAGTAGCGCTATGACAAGTAGGACATTCTACCTCCTCTCTATTTTACAATATAACTGCGCATTACATATTATTTGGGATATATGTATATATATATATATATATATATATATATATATGAGCGGTGATGATTCTGTGACTTATTTGCTAGTTTCGCGCGCGCGCGGGAAGGAAAGTAGGACATTCTACCTCCTCTCTATTTTACAATATAACTGCGCATTACATATTATTTGGGATATATGTATATATATATATATATGTATATAACTAGAAGTCCTTCTAGTTAGAAGGACTTCTTATAACGACCACTCTTCTGCTAAGGGTATTTTTTGCAGAAATTTTCATATTCAACAGAAAGCTGATGGCACTGAAGGCATACTCCCTGAACCTCTAGTGAGATCATTTTCCGAAACCAGAACTTCCCCACAGCAACCATAAGCATTATGAACTTCCTTGATTTAGCTGCAGGCTTTCCAAAATGTTATCTGTCGGTAACTGTGAACATAAGGCTAATGGATCTGTCTAAACGTACGTGAAACGTTCAGGGTTTTTCTGATGTGTGCAGCAACTCATGTCTGTTTCCTGCTTGGTGTGACTCTTCCACCGAAATACCTAGCTCCAAACAGATCTCAAGGCCCAGCTTCATGCCGTGCGGGATGATGAACATGAATATAATCTCCTTTTAGCACCCAGACAAAAGTACAGTTACGTCAAGACCTTTGGATAGGCCTATGGACAAGACTAGTAGCAGCACTTATTATGTACTTCGTTTGTGCTTCACCCGTGTACTTTGTTCTCACCAACTCATAACAATGTAGCAGGAAAATGACACAATCAAATGTCAACGAAACGGATGAATAAAAAATCAAGGCATATTTACGTACAAGTACATATCGGCTGAAACGAGAACTTTGTTTTAGATAGTTTGTTGGTGAATATAATGTGTAAGGTGTTAAAACTACACAATACCATTGCAAAACATGCAAGTGTGATCTACGAACTTTGGATTCAAATAATGTACCAGGGTAAGCCCAATTTGCGTGATCTACCTTAGACAATAACAAAGCTCATAAGCGTTTGGTAATATTAAAAAAGCTGATTTCAATCAAAAAGCAAGCCCATCCATTTACGGTAGCTGGGTCATATGCTACGCTTACTCAGCGCTGGCGCAACTTCTCGGGAAACGGTCAGTGATAAATGTGCGTAATAAAAGCGGACACCTTCAGATTGAGTGCTGCTGAATCTGTGTTTTTTAGCCAGGGGTTATAAAATTCTCTCCGGTTGGAAAACTCACAGGATTTGATGTAACCGATCTGTGTCGTGGGTGTGCGTCATTTCCTCGCTGTCACTGCTTCTGCTCATACTGAACATGACGACATTGACTACCATGGAAAAATTCAAATACAAGGCTCACTACTTCAGGAAAATAGACCACAATTATTCCCTCCACAAAGTTTCTAATGTAAAGGATTTTACAAAGAAGGAATACCGTTCTCACAACGCAAAACTGAGAATTATCAAAACTGCCTCATTCTTCGGAGATCTCTTTGACGAACGTCTTCTTTAGAGTGTACTGTATCATTGCTCAGATATTCTACGACCTAGTAAGTAATAAATAGTCCAGTGAGGTTTACTAACCAACAAAACTAAATTTCACGACATCAAAATTAACTTAAAGGAAACTTATCACAAGGTTACTGAAAGCTCTTCGATAGCCCACGACCGGTTTCACCCTTCTTCAGGCTTCTCAGGCAGGTGCACTCCCCCGAGTTCCATATATTCTACTTGAACCTAAATTGCATGAAATTCCACAAAAAATGAGGCGAAGTTTGTGCAACAAATTCAGTCGGAGAATTAATAAACGAAAGCTTCAGCTGCGTTTCGGGTGGGTTTCCCGTGAAAACCAACTTGGTGCGCAAGTGAGTGTATTTGTTATCGAAAATTAACGTGGTTCTTTTTGGTGGTGAAAAATATGGCCCGTTTTCAGTACGATGTCCTATTTTTCACTGCAACAGCAAACGTTGAGCTGTCTAACTGGATCTTGTCAGCACGTGCTTCGCATATCGTGTTTTCAAAAACTTGCCCAATAGGACCTGTTCACATGGTTAATTTGTGACCTTCTTGCGTGCTAACCTGTTTATGAAACTGGTGATTTGCCGAAAACGGACAGTCTAGCGGTTTACCCTAAATGGCGGATAATTTTCGGAAGCAGGTTACAGATCGAGATTTAAGATATTCAGCTGAGTTCTGATGTAGTTTTTTCTCAAACTAGAGTGAATGCAAATATAAATAACTCATTTGTTTTCCTGTCGCCGAAGTCATCTGACATTCTGTAGCCGGTTGGCATAGCCTAATTACCTTTTTACGATTATATTAAAGAACTCAGTCCACCTGAACTAATAACAATACTCAGCAGAGCTAAAGTCTTCTTTCCACAAAATGTCCTGAGAAGATCTTCAAACGCGCAGTGGAATCTGGACCTATGTGTCAGGGGCAGCGGCGTTTCTTTACATACTGATAATCTGTTTCAAGTCTCCGCAAGGTTTGTCAGTTGTCGGATGATGGACCCCATGTTGTTTGCTTTGACTTTATCAAGGTATTTGAAAAGTTTCACATCCACATATTCCCCCTACTTCTTATTCTAATCAGATTCTTGGGAAGGTGTCCACTGCCAGTCTCTTGTCAGACCCTGCGTTTATGTGAAAGTCATTGGTATTTGGTCTTGACCTTTCGACTCATGGAGTGACACTCAGAGCTCATTAGGATCTATCAGCCTCTAGTCAACTGGAGTACTTCCTGTAGGCAAACAACTATTAAGTGTGATCTGTAGACTTATCTGAAAACTCCATATCCTCCAAAATGTCCCGACACCGAGAACCAATTACTGATAATGTGGGGAGGGCCAATCAGCTTTTCCAAGTGTTCGATCCTCCCTCTCGTCTGCAGCCGCTTCATGCTGCTGGAACTGGTTAAGCATGGGAGACTTAGAAAAGTATCATTTCCTAAATCCGTCCTGAATGCCAACAAAAGCCTGCCGTTGGATACCATCTGGTCGAAGCTATTATACATCCCTCCTCGCTCATCACTCCCGAATATTTTTTTACGCGAGATCACCCTTAGAATACAGGCGGCTTGATTAAGTAGGGATCTGACACCGAGGTTTAAATGCGCCGATCCCCTTGTTTTTGGATGGTGAGCTCTTTGTTTTCATTGGTCTATTGTTGACTACGGGGAGACTTACTCTAAGCCCGGCTTATTTCGCACGAAGCCTATTGCCTTAAGCTGCGGTTGCGGGATCACCTTGTGGGCACCACTAGAGACAGCTAAAATGCCTGAGACGTCGACTCTGTTCAATCACCTCACCGCTAGACGGGGCACTTATTTTTTGGAACGGAGTTTGCTCCCCATGTGTTCCTGATCCCACTTTAGCTCAAAAGCCGAACACGGAGTTTTATGGTCGTGCTTATTCCGGACATTCCAGATTGTTGCGCGTCGTTCCTTCAAAGTTCTAGTTACTCATTTGTGACGTGGTGGAGCTGACAAGGTTTCTTCTTCCTGAACTTTTTGCCTGCTTGTCTGCTTACTCTTCATGTGACTAGATTCCCTAAACCAGAGTTCTTTTAGTATCTAAGCGAACTAACTGCCTTGCCCGTTGAATGAGTCCGTGGAGGGGCTCAATAATGACATCTGCAGCATTGCTGCTATTATGCTAGGTAAATCGTTGTTCTACAGTGTAAGTCTGGCTTGGACCAGCTTTTTCGTTGCATCAGCCGGTAAAGTAACCGTTCGGCATATCTGGTTGGGTTCCATTTCTCATTATAATGTGCTTCTGGAAAACTCCACGTCGGTTGAATATGACTGGATATATGAAACACACATGAAGCTGCCAGATTTTTAGAAAACGCAGACAGAGTCATGAAAGACTGCCCTTATAAGTCTCCCCTACGCAAGCAAGCCCCTTACAGATAAAACACTGAAGTATTCTACGAAAGTACTTCCTGACAGGCTATTGTACAAAGTTGAAGTTGGGACTGGTAGAATTCATATGCTACTTTTACAGAGATAAATTATTCAACTTGTTTGAACAAAACAGCCTGAAATCGTTCAAAATTCTCAATGCACACAACAGAAGGAAAATGGGGTAAACTTTACCAGATGTATCCGGATATGTTACAGTGCTTGACCAAACAAAGGTTGCTACTGATCTCATACTGAACCACCAGTCCGATCCCAGCAGTTATCACTTAATCACTCCATCAATGTCAAATTTTCAATCCTACAAAAGCACACAAATCTTACGGCCCTTTATTCATCTTCGTACATCAAAGAATTAAAAAACGTTTTATCGGGCTCAACATGCTCCGCTACCTGAGAAAATGAGTCGGCCATCGCTGTAGAGTTTGTTCTAATTGTTCAGCGAATTTTTGTCCGAAATCAGAAATGCTTCATGATAAGACGGAGCACCGGAATAAAATGCACCACGCAGCTGCGTTTAACTTCCTTAAAAAATGAATAATCGAATTGATGTTTAGAGGTGAAATGATACCAAGACGGCTTTACTGCATATATCTGCGCCTGATACGTTTTATGTCCTCTCTAAGTGGTCCAGATTTTTTGCTTGTTTTGTTCGTTTGCGAGTGTTTTACGCAGTTTTAGCACATATATAGCTCGTTTGTGTTCAAACGTGCTCCTCTATCCTCTGAACCGAAACACTGTGTACCATCGTTCTTCAGTACTTCCTTTTTTCAGTGTAGTACTACTTCGTTGAATCCGGATGCTTTCATTGGCAGCGCAAGAGAGTGGCCTAGTAACTCACTTTACCTGGTATTGTGAGGTCACCTTTGATGGCTTCGTGTGCCAGATACTCGTTGCAGGTAAAGAGGACTAATGCATCCAGGAAAATTCTTTTACATCTTAGGGTTGGTGGAACGTCTAGAAGTGTCGTTGAGGCGATATGTGTTTTCGGTGCTTCGTGACTTTTACTGCTTTCAACGCCCTCAATCTCCCAGTAGGAGTGATGTAAGTGTGAATTTTCCAGTCACTTGAACAGAACCCTGACAATCCCACCGGAGTGCTCGAAAGCAGAATGACCACAGGAATGACAGGGTGACTAACTGGTCCAACCCACAAGAAGTTACACGGATCTCCTTTCATTTAGACCTCCGGAAGAATTTTACCACCCATGGTGTCAACTAGGTCCTAATGAATCTCTAATATGTTAAAATCCCAACGACCTATGAAAGAGTTCAGATCAGTTTAGTTTCAAGTAAATCTGTGAGCTCCTCTAAATTCACCAACTAATGAGCTACGCGTGCACTACAGTTGAGGATATTTTATTTGTTAACGTTGTGTTACCATATGTTTTGCTACTTGGGACAGCACCATTGACTTTCCCCCTATATCCGCGTTCATGTTTTGCTAATGATTTACTGGACGAACAATAGTTATCGGTTGGTCTGTGATGTTGGTTCGCTTCCGTCCCTTGTGATCCCATTGCCGCCTATGCTGTCACGTCTACTGGGCTATGATTCCGGTCCTCTACTAGAGGACTGATTGCTATTGCCTTTGTGCAGTTTGTTCTCACCCGGGCTACAGTGGATTGTGTCTTTAAATAGAAAAAAACTGAACTACTACATTCGTGAGGCAGAACGTGCAGCACGAATGCATTTCGTTCGGAATTGTTGTCTTTTGGCTTCGTTCTCCTTCTGTTAGGTTCATCAATGAACCTCCCCATAACAGACGAGCACACGCCCCAATGGCCGGTTTGGCCACCACCTAAAGACGCCCAATTTTTGCCGTACCCGAATGATTGGATTTAGATCCAGACACGTGATCTGACGGCATTCCCCATGTGGAGGAGTGCCTCAGCGTCACTCTATTTTGACGCAATAACTTTGACTACTTATGAGTAGCATGGCGTCGCAACAACCAATCCATATGAGTCCTCATTACCCGATTGATGGGTGGTCCAATCTAGCTGGCATACTCTGGCCCTAACCCTAGCATGCGGAAAAACTCTGGTGGACTCTGGTGGTGATATTGTAGCCTTTTACTAACTACAGCAACAAACCTAACCAGACTGACATGCGGATTAGTTTATTTTATGGGCGGTAACTTTTGGTGGCCCAGAGTTAAAGAGTCGGATATTCACATAGGACCAACTTTACAATGGAGCGAAAAGTCGGCCGACCCTGGCAGGACTCGAACCTGCAATCTTCTGATCCGAAGTCAGACGCCTTATCCATTAGGCCACAGGGCCGTGACCTGGGGGGCAAAAACAAGGCACTGGAAAGATAAAAGTTGCCATGTGTATTGACAGGATGACAGATACATCTGTTTAGGCAGAGGAAGCTTGATGGATGTTACGTTTTGTTGAGATGTTATATCCTCCAGATTTCATCTATAAGATACCCAAAGAACACTGATTTTCAGGAAACGGCAACCACGTTGAGCTGTGTTTTCTGGGGCATGCCACCTGGCTCTACAAAATGTACATTTCTGGTCATAAAGGGAGAATGTAGTTGGTCTCGGTAAACAGTCCACTGGCAACTTCATCCTGACGGGGATATATCAGACTACGTTGAAGGATTGGTCACGTATCGCTTTGCCTAGTGGCCCTCACCACCTATTGAACAGAATTAATGTTGGTATTCACTCTGGTACGAGTGCAAAATGATATCTATGAGAGTTCGGCGACTGCATCCGCCTGGTAAACCCAAGGAATGTATTACAGGCAGTGGGCTTTCCAGATTCTCCATTAGCTTTATGAGTAATGGCACTATTTTTTTTTTATCTCATTGCATGTCTAAGGCATTCTAAAGTCACAGTTCCCGGAGATGTGGCTGACACCTGTGTTTCGGAATACGGGTAACGCGACTTCAGCCGTACTTAAATTTAAAGCAGAAACCGAACTTAGGCTGCATATCCAGTGGAACACAGTGGAAGTCGTCACTAACCGATGTCGAGTTAACCTAGCGGCATTGCCTACACCAAAGTGAGGTTATATAAAAATAATACTGAAATAAGCCAAAAGCCACAAAGCGCGGAGAACGAGAGAGAAACCACCTGGACCGGTAAGAAACTCGAGCAGTTCTCTCGGAAGCAACAAGCAAAGATCCCTTCAAAATGACCTATACTCTGTTCATGCCAGGAAGCAAATTCAGTGGACGACTACTGAACATTTGACTCACAAAATAATTTCTGGAATCCCCCACACTTTCCTATACTATTTTCCCGCTTCTGGTACACTGACATTAAATCCCATACATTATTCAACTAAGAGGATTTACCTCTTAGGTGAGGCCAAAAAGGTCATCCCTCCGTATTGTCCCCTGTTATAAGGGATAACTGTATTGTCTATTAACTTTCCTTTACCGAGTGGGATTGTATTATTTTCGTTCCATCAAACAAGCGAAATGTGGTCAAAGGTAGATGAAATTTCCAGCCCCCCGCTCACCGATGTTCTCAGAATGCTTGGGTATTATGCTGTAGATCTGGTGTCTTCATGTCGCTTGGGAAGTATTGTTATTAGCAGCATTCAGACTGCGAAAAAGTCAAATTCAAGATGGAGTCCTGTATGCAATTTCTAATGAGCTGAAATCGTCTGGATTGATTAGTGTTGGAAAAAACAACGGAAATTTACAAAGCTCTGCAAATCAACGATTCGGTCGCCATTGACGGCCTTCGCCAGAAGCAAAGTAATCGGAAGCACAAGGTACAAAAAATAGTGTTTATTGCTGCGTGGTCAACCTTCAACCTGCTGTTCAAATGCATCTAGCCATCACCTGTGTTGAGGTTTAGGTCAGCTGGTCTCACTATCGGTTGATGTTTATGAGCCATAACCCCGCAGCAGATTTGGACTGATCGCCATTTCGATAGACGCTGGCAAGTTGTGTGTGAAATGCGAAGCCTTTCACACAGCATCGTTCAGTGTGTTTTGTCAGGCCTGTGTGGACTGGCTGGGCCCCACCAAATAACTCGTTATGGATCCTCATCAATGAATGCAGAACAATCGCTGGATCTTTTTCCGACCTCCGGAAGTGTGATGTATTTTGTGATGGAAAATCTGCGTGTCATCTGTTTCCCCCCTGATGCGCACTCAGTTGTCTGGTAGCCTCTCGTATGCAGGTAGCACTGCAACCCCACAACGGATTTTCTATACGTGGTTATTTTGACTATTGGGTTGACTGGGTCATTAGGATGTACCAAGTGTCCTCTGATGGTGTTGTCTATCTGGGACATTGTGAGGTGAAATCTGTTTATTTACCCCCTAATTATACGGCAGAAGGTATGAAGAATATTCTTCTGGACTATGACCTTTCATCATACACAAAATGAAGGATTGTTCTTGCCAGTATCGTCATCAGTCCTATATTGGGATGCATTGAGAACACGAAGCCAAACTTGTGTAGATGTAAAGTAAATTTAGACTTTCCCACCAAATTAGTTCCTTTCTAACTGGAAAACACCCACATCATACGGAGAATGTCTGTTGAAGCAGTCTTCAGCCCTTGAATTGGGTGTACTTTATAGACAGGCACCCATACTAAGTTGATATGGTAGACCGATGATGATGATGATGATGATGATGATGATGATGACGATGATGATGATGATGATGATGATGATGATGGTGGTGGTGATGAGAAGGAGGAGGAGGGCGAAGATAGTGATGACGAGTATGAATCTGAAGCACACATGGTACAGTGGAAAGGAAATCGCTTTGAGCGGAGACCGAATTAGCAACCTCTGACCTACTGGAATGTATCTTACCAGCTGACTTACCTGGGACACTGGTCCACATCACACCCAAATGCTTCTATTCTAAATCGATTTTCCAAATTTTGGCATGATGTGTAAAGGGCTGACGACTGTCACTCGGGTGAATTCTAGAATTGATCAAGCGTTGATATTGTTTAAATGTCAAAAACTAATTAGTTCGGGTTGAAGGTGGAGATTTGGAAAATGTTGAAAGGAAACTGCAACTGTATTGAAGTTGTTGGACGCTTGCAACCATCAGTGATGACTCCACTTGGATCACGAATTTCCCCCTGTGTTTGTCTGTCTTCAGTTTTATTTGATACATGTTGCCTAAAGTAGAACAGAAATCGAAGTACGAGACAATGAAGCGAACTTAAATGCACCAGATTTGGAATGTGCTTACTACAACCGTGGTATCGCGACACCTACTGACTATTTCTCAGGCTTCAACATACGAGCAACTTCGCCCCATGGGGAAATTGGGACAATGCAAATTTTCGTCTAGGAATTCCACTTGCCCGGCTTGCCAACAAACTGCTTCACTAAACAAGTCTCACGGAGACGGTTCTACTGCTGATTTCTTGTCACTGAACTTTACAGCTGCTATTCATCTCGCTCTCATTGTAGCCCATCACCTTTCGGTAACAGACTTTCATTTCCACTATAACGTTGCATAGATATGCAAATCAGTTTCAGGTCACCGACTCTGTTCTTCACAATCGTTCACGACATAATTCCACCTTTGATGAGATGCAACTAAGACAGAATAGTATGAATATGGTGGCAATAGCCTGTGCCAGACTAGACACATCCGCTGCTCGTGGGGCTTGTCATAGGAAGGTCTGTGGCAGTTACCGAGTGAACGGGGCGGTTCCGGCACGGTGATTGATGGATGAACTTTGCCATCGCTCCAGAGAGCTTCCTGGCTAGAAGGACAGGGGAAACTTTATGTTGCCACAAAAGCTGCATTAACAAGTTTTCGTGACAGAAATTTACACTTTACGCGAAGATATTAATCGCTCAGTTAAAGGCTGGGCATTAGCTAAAGACAGTAACTATAATTTAGTAATGAATAAAAATCACACGGTATACCCCACCATATTATTGGAAATATAACCGATTATCTACCTTTGATGTTGTGACGGAGTCAACTTTTATCTCCTTGTAGACAATCGCTCAGAACTATACGGTCTTTAGTGAACCTTATCTTCATATTGATGTATTAAGAACCCGTCAGAATGCAATGAAGCATCAGGTCAGTTTAGATAGCCGAATTCTGAGGAATTTCATCGGGCTCCGGAACAAAACACGATATGATGACGAGCAAACGAACGGATGAGTGCAGGTAAGTTAGTTCTCTATGAGAAAGCGACAAAATATATTTTATACACTATAGAAGCTTCTCAGCTACTGCGGTACCGGGATTGAGAAAGTCGGTGTCTCTAAGTTACCAGTTGGCACATATGACATATGGACACATGTGGACAAATCATGGACACAAGCACGAAACCCCATTTCAGCTTGGAGTCCTCTTAGATTACCACTGAAAACAGTCGTTTTCTTGCGGCCACCATACGAATCAGTGCTAACATCCAGCATTCTCCAAAATGACATTTTTACAGGACAAGTGTTTAGGCTACTGAAATTGTTCAACTCACCAATATCTAGTCTAGGATTGGCAATATCTATACGTGAGGCAGAAAACTGAGTTGCCCTTGTTGAAGTACATCCGTTTTGCGCAACCTTCACGACGCGGTCACACCGTATTTCTGAATTATACATTAATACCAGGTGAAAGAACGTGGACTGTCGCAGCTAGAAAAATGCGCTTGATTGCAAAAGGTGCTGGAACATAAGGCATTACTAGATACAACCCTCAAAGAATTGTTAAAGCTATATTCTGGGAATCCTGACTGTACTTGTGGTTGCTGTTTTATACCTAGGTATTTTTTGGGGGGAAGAAATGGAAGTGAGATTTCTCAGGATGAGCTCCTTGGCGAGACATACATTCGACATATATATATATATATATATCGGTTGTAGAAACTATATTATCTGCACTTTGTTCCTTTGGATGCCCAAGTTGTAAGTTCACTGGCATCCGTTAAAAAGCCTGATTGGAATAAAGGTAGCGGTCTATCCAGAACGATGCAAAAAATCATTATGCAACGACCACACCTTGTCGTGTTGTTTCTTCACCATTGCACTCACGCTATACGTATCCGTATACCGTATCACATGGTAGGAATCACAGGGTTTTGAAGAAACTCGTGGAAAAATATATAGTGGCTTGTTGTTTTCCGGTTGCCATGCCGTCAACTTTCTCAGTTTGGATGCTGCCGGGTTACACGATCTTAGTCGCTATGTCAAGCACCGCTCATCTGTAGACAGTGTTTTGCCCTTTCTTCGCGAACTGAGCTGTTCAGTGGATGCCGTTTTTAAGTTCCTATGTCCCTGTTCTCCGGTATAGTATGGCGGCTCTAGCACACATCGCTATCAGCCTTCGATTGAGAAAAACCATTGACTTAGAAGGATGCCTAGACAGGACATTGTTCGGAAACGCAGTCCAGCTAACATCGTGCAATTTGTAGATGGACAATGCAGAACAGCTGCTCAGAAAAGTATCAGAAGAGGCTGAGGATAGCAGATTAGAAAAAACCTTTTGATGTACGAAAATTTTGTGTGGCAGAGTGCAACAGTGTTATGGACACCTAGCACACTTTATGAATGGGTGGATCGGTTCTTTCAGTGGATCAGTCGATTTCCGAATTGGGAAGCAAGGTCTTTTTTGTAAGTAAACGAATCGTAGGCGATTCTGACCTTTTACGTTAATTCTGACAGGAGACTGTAGATGCGGTCCACTACAGTCGCAGTTTGTATTGACCGAGATCAGTTTTGGACCATTTTTAACGAAAAAAGTACGTGACCTGGGCAGTTTAGAGCGAATACAAACTTCTAAGTATTACACTTTCACATCAAATACCTACTTTAGACCCTTTGCTAAAGCCGATGGTGGTTTCTTGGTAGAGCGCGACGTCAGGGTTTAGGCGTCCACAGAGGATCCTAGTATCCGTAACAAAATTAGAGGGCTTGAGCTTCGCTGAGATGTGCACTGCCTATCATTCCTAGTAAGGATGAAAGAGGAAAGGCCAACTTCATTGATGTGGCGAAATCTCAGCTAAAAATACGACTATCTACATCACAATTCGTAACTCGGAGCATACTTCGAGGACACATAAAGAACACCGAGTGATATATTGTACAGAAGTCAAGTCCGATGGAACTTGGAAGCACGTTGTCGAAAAATTATTACCACAGTTCTCCACCTTATATGCAGTTCATTTTGTTTCTGAAAGCTCAGAATAACATATGTCAACTGAACACCGGTCTGTCGAAATTGTTTGGTGTAGATATAGTGCTAACAAAACTACTTGTGAAAAACCGCCGGCTAAATAATTATTCCTCCTACTGTAGATTTTATTTTTGCACTGTGAAAAGCTTCTATTATTTCTAGACCTTCTTTTCTGTGTACGCCCATGGGTTGTTTTCTGATTTGTTCAGAACTCACTCATCCGTCCTAATCAGCTTGTAAACATATGCTCGTTGCTTACGGTGTAGTTTGAAAAACACAATATGCTTATCTATTACCTCTCGACGTCCCATGTGCCTATAAACAGGCTCAACCAACACATGAACACAGATGTGTTCCTTCGTGCAAGATCGGCCCAAGCAGTATAACTGGTCGACCAGAAAACGGGATAACGGTCGACCTGTTTGAGCAACTAAGCGGAATTCGTTTTCGGCTCAACGACACAATGGCGTAGGCACACCGTTTGTTTGTTCTCCTTCACCCTTCGTGTGTGATGCCTTAAGGCATTCCCAATCGATTTTACCTGTTTCAGCATATAGCCTTGTGATCTCCCACAACAGCAAGTTAGTACATCTATTGTCCTCGTAAATGCCACTCGCCGCAAGCTTACATGCACCCTCCTGTACAGTGGCCCAACTTATTGTTGTAAACAGCAAGGAAGACGCTGACTTGTCTTCAAGTCATGGCCCAACTGCAATGATACCTGGCTCATACGTTGAGGTCAATTTAGGACACCAGAACTTTATACAAGTTGTAAGGATAACAGTCTGTTTGGGAAACTAATTAGGCTAAAGTTGGATGTATAGAAATATTGATAAGCTTGTATGAGGGTCAGGAGTTTAAACCATATGGTTACTTATCCCATCCCCATAAGTATGACCTCAGTTAAACCGTCGTTTGCGGCGACAGCTCAGAGCTCTCCTCCATCACAGGACTGTCGGAAATGGAAATTCCACCTGACCCTTAATGTGGTTTTTCAGCTAACCATACAGCACTAAGTTTACCGCCATATTCTATCCCTAGATTATTCAACAGGTTCTGTTCCTTTGATGGAAATGAATAGGACACTGCAAGGGGTATTAGTGCCAACAATGTTTATGCAGTAGTAAACATCAACGGAAACAAGACCGACAGAAAATGTACACAAGGTGTATAGGGGAGCATAGATAAAAACCAGCTCCACTAGGCAACCTGATGATATATGTCATTTGGGCATTTTGAAGTAGACAGTAGTTGCCGGGACAAAGTCAGTAACAATTTGTCATAGGTTGTTTACCCAGTCGCTAGCTGGTATGCTGTGAATTAACTGCAACCTGGTCTGGTAAGATCTGACTTCCACCATTGCAGTAGGGTGGTAATAACCAGCGGAAACGAGGTGAACCGGATACCAGCAAATAAAGGGCCATGGATTCTCATGCGAGAACTAGCCCTACTAAAATGCATGGTCACATAAACCAACACAGACACGGAGAATGATAGTAAAATTAGCCAATCAGCCATTTAAAAAAAAAACTGAGGCGACCAATTACGAATGCTTGTGCACTAAGGAGCCTAAAATGCAGGCAACTAATAACTAGCTTCTCAATGATTTGTTTATACGCCACTTGTGTAC